TAACATGAGTGTTTGTTCAATGGAAGAGATTAGGTTGGTTCTGTATTTTTACAATGCTTTCAGGTTAACTATGTCATGTTCTGGCATTTCAAACTAATGATTTAGTTCTCATAACATTTGGATATAATGACAATGTAATTTCCATTACGTTGTTGTGTTACAATGGAAATCATTTCCAATAATTTACGTTTTCAGAACCTTTACTCGAGCAAATCTAATGCTAATTTGTTCCGATTATGAGCTCGCACGCTATCAATTGTGCAAGTCTTGTCATGGGTAACACTCCTCTTCTGGGCCATAGACGCACAAGAAAAACTGAGCTTTCAATGTGATGTTTTTCTGTTCACTGTCGACTCGTTAAGCATAACATGAAGTGGCTGACAAATCAGCGATTATTTCACTCATTTTATGTAACACCAAACAAGGATGAAGGCAACATAACAAAAAAACAAGCATGACGATAGGCCCATAGTTCATTTTTGACTTTTTCTTAGTTTTTTTTTTTAATTTATTGAAAAACAATTTTTGTTGATTATCCAAATCACTGCTGTACTGTCATGGAATCTTTTGGGGATGAAAGGATACAGCATTCAGCGTTTACCCTTCTTTTGCTCTGCCAATGCCCATATGGCTTGGATGTTTGTCTATTTGAAATATTTGCAATGCCTCATGAGCTGCTGCATCAACTTTAAGAAACTTGTTTCTAGATTTTTTTTTAAAGTCTTACATGTATTGAAGGGTTTGAATTTATAGACTTATTTAACTCGGAGATTTTAGAATGAAAGACATGTAGGAAAATACAGAGAAATCTCCGTAACAGAGTCAATTGTCCCACATTCGTTTTGTTCAATTGTATCTACGATCCTTTCATTCTCCAATATGGCCAGAAGCCCTCCACTCACACGAACTTGGACATCACTTCTGATGTCCATCATAGAACTCAAAAGCAGACAAAACAAAACGTATTAGGGAAAACAAATCTATACTGCATTAAAGGTTATCTTATCACATTCAGAATTTTTGGGTCAATATGACACAAAAAAAAAAAAAGGAAGTGAAGAGAGAAACACGGATAAAGAACAAGAATCTAATGTTATTGAATTAGTTATTATTTTCTCGGGGGAAGACTAAAGAAGAGAACTTGAAGGCCACAGTAAATAATTTTAAAAAAAAAAAGCGTGTCCAGTGAGCCACAACCATGGGCTTACATTAACTATCAAACTGAAATTGAAATAGATTATAACACCGGCAATGTAGTTAAACATCAAAGAGAGTGAGAGATAGAGCCACAATTGACATATAACATATCACTCTCTGAAGCATGATGCATGTAAAAGCACATGATGATTTCTCCTGCAACTGTTCTCACTATGAGCATAGCTCTACCATACGCGTGGAGTTATTTAGTTTCCTAAAGGCATCGCAGACAGAAAGTATAACACCAAGCCTTTTTATCACACAATCATGATTTGAACATAACTACACAATTTTGAAAGTTCTATGAAATACATAGCATCATTACACAAAAGTTAGATGCGCAAGTTTTTAATGTACAAAACAAATTCTCTCCTTGATGCTTAACCCATCATCCATCCCTGTTACTCGAAGGTATATCAATCTGTCAATTTAAGAAAAAGCAAAATAATAAGAAAGGAAAGGGAATTTTTGGGGGTGGGGACACAGATAGGGGAGAAAGCATCTTATATAAATATCTGGGTGTGTATATACCAAAATTGATTTCATGTGTGACATTTTTAACCATCTCAATGCAGTGTCAACAATACTAATAGTTAATATATTGAAAGTGTGAAAAATTGCTTAGTTTCCAGCCACTGATTCATGTCTGCAGTTACTAATTGAAAAATAAAGTTTAAATTCTTTATTTTGGAAATAATACAAATGTAGGATATAGATAGAAGAAAGAGCATAGATAAGATATTAGTGCACCTTGAGTATGTGGGGGATATCCTTGACCGACTTCAGGGTTTCCCGTAAAGAAGCCAACAGTTCTTCAGAACAAAGGAAGAATGATATCTTCATTCTGTTAAAGTATATGAATTTTTGGCAAGGTAGATTGAGGATACAGAATTCAAATGCAGGGGAATCCATTTCTTAGTTCATGTTTAGTTATGTAATCACCTTTCATGGAATAGTTAGAAATGTGGATTTCTAAATTTCATGCTCAGGGCTTGATTTCAGCCAAACCTCATCTTACAATGCTTTCAGGTTAACTATGTCATGTTCTAGGATTTCAAACTAGTCATTTAGTCCTGATAACATTAAAGTAATCTTGAGGGGATGAAAGGATACAACATTAAGACGACTATTAAGGTCATCAAGATCTAGTACAGGCCTCAGGAACCAGCTCCTAGTGCAAAGTAAACCATCATCTAGGGGTCTTGGGTTAAAATGGTTAGAAGTAGTAGAACAGTAAATTTCTCAATTTGAATTTACCTCAAGAGACGTCTACCCATTGGCGTTACACACTGAAATAAGCACAACTAATTTATTCCAAATCCAAAAGATACTGCAGAGTTGAAAAGCAAAAATGGCTTTTGCATACCTTATTCATCATTTCAAACATAGAGAACCTGCAGTTCAATAATATCAACAAAAACATCAAGAGTTGTTTCAGCATTTACCCTTCTTTTGCTCTGCCAATGCCCATATGGCTTGGATGTTTGTCTATTTGAAATATTTGCAATGCCTCATGAGCTGCTGCATCAACTTTAAGAAACTTGTTTCTAGATTTTTTTTGTAAAGTCTTACATATATTAAAGGGCTTGGATTTATAGACTTATTTAACTTGGAGATTTTAGAATGAAAGACATGTAGGCTAGAATAATAAAAAAATATATATATTGTTCTCAATCTACAAGTTTTTTTTTTTAAAAAAAGCGTGTCCAGTGAGAGATAGAACCACAAATGGTTTGGTTATTTTAAGAGGTTAATGTAATTTATCATATATATATTTTTTAAATTATACAACACATTGTCAGATATGTGTTGTGTGTATATATATATATATAATATACTATGATTATATGTGTTGTTTAATTGTTTTGGTTAAATTACCCCAGTGTGTTCATGAAAAAATTATTACATGTACATGGAGAATTTGATAATTTTATTCCTTAATAATGGTAAAATTTATCATTAATTTGTAATTATTTTTATAATTTTAACCTATTGTGAAATTTTCCCTATTTTGTTTCCTTAAAGGTTGTCATATAATTTTAATCTTTAATATTGGTTAAAAAGTATAAAACACAGTCAATAAAATAAAATGTTATGTTTTTTGCATATTTTTTTTAAAAGGTCAAAAATTAACTTTTAATTTACTTTTTTAAAACAAGTTAAGTTAAAATATTTTTAAAAAAATTAACTAGAAAAGTTAATTGTGAAATGACAAGGTAAGGTATTGGTGCTCTGGTTGGTTAAGGTTTAGGTTAAGGTTATCAGTAATCAACCCGGGGAATTTAATTGTGTTTATTTCTTTGATCATTGAATCATATCGGTCATTTTTGTTAGGAAATTAATTGAGAACTTAATTGGTTGTGCATTTTCTTATTTAGGAGAATAAGGGTGAATGTGTTCAAGACAGATTGATCATTTTCTTTTAATTATAGGGTTTGTATTAAGTTGTTTATTTTGTAAACCATTATATCATGGTGGTTGTTTGTTGGGGTTCTAGTTTTGTGGTGTTGGATTATTATTGTTTGGTTTAATAGAATATATTTTGCACATTTGTAATTAATTTCATACTAATTGGCTTTAAAAAAAAAAAAAAACACTATCTGATTTGGGTGTTCGAGTCTCTAATATTTTATTTGGTTCATTATAATTTTGTTTGTAATCTTAATTCTATTTTCTGATTTCACATCTTCTAATTGGGAAAAATATGACGAACATCCTAGGTACATTCTGGTATTTCATCAGAGTGACTTTTGACAGAATCTCTAGTACTTGGTCCAAACACAAGTGGTCAAAACCCTGGGTTGACATTGCATATTTGCCATGGGGGGAGTCATTTGTTAACTTTATTTGCTAGGATTGGATTACAAGGGATTACCAATGGTCCGAGGCCATCACATATCCTATTTTGATGATCTAAGTCATTCACAAACGTTATAAAATAAAAAGATTATGATTATTAAATTAGCTTAATTTTTTTAATGTATAATATACACAAAATGTTTTACAAAATGAACTGTTCGAATTATCAAAATAAGACTGTGGTAGGCCCCATTGGCCTCTCAAGTTCTTGAGATCAACCTTTTATTCTTATTTTTGAATTTTAGACTTAAGTAAGACAATTATATCTTATTATATCAGCGAAGAAAGAATTTGATTAGAATAAGGAGAGATTCTAAAAAAACTAGAAAGAACACAATCAATTTGCTATGAAATTCCATATGTATTCTTTTCCCTTTATCTTCTAGGCATGTAAGTGGAGCATAATAAAAACCAAATAAGTAGGAAAATGAGAAAGGGAAACTATTACACATGGATTGGAAGGCTCGCATAATAGGAGATTAATTTATGGTTCCTTAAAGTGCATCTTTCACATCATAGAATAAAGAACTAAGATTTCAGTTTCTATGATTGTATTAATTTTCTGTTTGTTCTTGGGTTTGGTCTGAAGTTTCATGATAATGGTAAGCAAGTAGCTAAGTAACTAATATAGGGTATTGAGACAGAACTTTAGATTTGATAGAGTTGTGGAAGAAAGAAAGGGTTATGAGTTTGGTATCAGTAATTGTTCCATATCTTGTGAAATGTAAATGGATTTTTTCATAATCTATCTTGTCCATGCTTATATGCCCCCTATTTGTGAATGGTGTAAATTACTCGTTTTTCTTTTTTCACCCAGAAAAACCATCTTATGATGAAATCTCAACAAGCCCTCGAATCTATTTTTCAAAGAATTGAATGAAACTAGTGAATAATTTGAAATATTTTTTAAGTTGAAATGATATATAGTAAAATGATAGAGAGGAACAATGCAATTTCTTTATTATCAAGCTTTAAATTTGTTTTACTAGTGATACATTTCATTATTATATTGGTTCATTATTCCTTGCAGGAACAATCAAAAGCCAACATATTTGTCTTACTAATGATACATTTCATTGTTATATTGGTCATTCTTCCTTATAGGAACAATCAAAGGCCAACATCGGGAACAGAGAAAGGATGTATACAAAACATAGGTATGGTTCTAGGTCAATCCCTGTTAGAGTAGAAAAACTGGTACGTATCCTTGCACTTTCAGAATTATATTAGATTCTTAGCTTTATTTATTGAATATATGGACTATCGAATTAGGCACGAGAAAAGAAGATGCTACCTGATCTAGCAGAGTTGTACAAGGAAACTCACTATAATGAGAAAACACATGAGTGAATCTCATCTCAAGCTCAGTGTAATTATGTGAGTATATATTGCAATTTTTATTAACAAAATTTTAGAATACTATTTGTTATAATCTTATTTAATTTTCTAATAATTATTTAATTTTTTTTATATTTGATAGGAAAATATGATACAGACACAAGTTGATCACCTCTCACAGCCGGGATCAACCCCTTTGACTGCAGAAGAGCTATCAATCAAAGTCCTAAAGCCAAGGTCAGGCACTCCAACGATCAAGTTAGTAATTATATCTCTCACAGATATCAATACAAGTACTTAAACTTCAACAATGAAAGCATAAAAGCATCTCAAATAAAGCATACCTTAGACCCACGAGGGTGCCTTACTTTTATAATGATCAGTGTCCAACTTCCCCTAGAAGTCTTACTTCATGGGACTCTATCCTTTATAACGATAACATTTATCACAACTCACACTATTCAGATTGAGATGAACTCCCTTAAGAGCCCCATCTCTATCCAAATAGATAGCTTAATGTCATCTAGGACTCTAGTCCTTTATCCAAATATCTCGAATTTCGGTATTATCGCACCATATCTCGGCACCATAGTCCGCTCACGTGACACTTTGGCTAACAACCTCGGCCACATGGACTACCTAAAAATATGTCCCCACAAAACTTATTCCATTTAACCTAATAACAATAAAAAAATAGAATTCCATAACTAATGATTAGCTAAAGAAACTCAAAATTACACAATAATCAATGATTAGCCAAAGGAAATCCCAAAAAAAAAAAAAAAATTTTGAGGCTGATAAATATTTATGACAGTTGCCCAAATTTTTTTTTACTATTTCTCCCACTTTATCACCAACCAAACAAGACATAAGGTTTTTGGTAAAAACTACTAATTTATGGACTGATAAATATGTAAACCAATTCAAAAAAAGCCTTAACCCAAAATTGAAACAAACAAAAAATAAATATTATATAGATTTTGTCCCGTTAATTTTATCTCTAATGACATGGCCCATCTTATGTGACAGGTCCATACTCTCATACTGCTCAATTTTATTTTTAGACTTTATTTATTTTTAAATTTGAAAAAAATAAACCCGAAACAAATATGAACTAATTTAAAAATTAAAATTAAACAAAGTGGTGGTGATAATGTGGACTAATTTAAAAAAACAAATATGAAATCAAACTGTAGCATAAT